GGCTTCTTGCCCTGCCAAATATACCTTGAAATCACTTTTTGCCACTCTTTAAAAATCCCTAGCCCCTTTATAATGGGGATAGTCTGAAATAAAAATAACATCTTTGGAAGCACACTCATCTTTATTGTAGAAATTCTGCCCCAAAAGGACAGTTTCATTCTGCCCCACACCTCCAGATCTTTCCTTATTTCCTTCCAAACTGGCACATAATTATTCTGGAACAGGTCAGTATTTTTAGGTGTTAACCAAATCCCCAAATATTTTACTTTTTTCACCACCTCTATCTCTGTCTGTTGTTGCATTATTTCTATCCTATTTTGCTCCATATTTTTAGCAATTATTTTAGTCTTTTTCTTATTCAGTCTAAATCCTGCCATTTTTCCAAATTGTTCTATTTCCTCCAAAACTTCTTTACCTTTATCTCGTCAATTTCTATTGGGGCATTCAGCTGGTCTTTTTGTTCTGTCGGGATCTTCTGCACCTTTTTTTCTTTTAGAAATCTTTCTATTTTCTTTATATTGTTCCTTTCTTTATCCGAGGTACCACTGTATAGCAGAAAAAGGGGACGATTAGCATTCTGAGATCAGCAATGGGTTTACTTTCCCCCTTACCCACCCACCGCATAATTATTTGCATAGTTTGCCAATTGGGTCACCCAAATTTGGAGCACTGGATTAAAGTAACCCTAAATTTGGCTTGATGTTGGTCTTATTTCCCCACCATAATGGTATCAAATCAGAGACAAGCAATTGGAGGTTTGCTGTAGCAAGGTGTCCACTCTCAAACATCAGTACGTGAGTATGCTAACCAAACAAAGTCCTAAAATGCCAGTGATCAGAAGAGAAAGTTACCTTATACTGAACCAGACCATTGGTCCATCTAACTCATTATTGGCTGACGGAAACTCTTCAAGGTTTCAAGCTGGACATTATCACAGCTCTACCTAGAGATGCCAGGGACATGGGTGGCACTGTGAGTTAAACCACAGAGCCTAGGACTTGCCGATCAGAAGGTCGGCGGTTCGAATCACCACAACGGGGTGAGCTCCCGTTGCTCGGTCCCAGCTCCTGCCAACCTAGCAGTTCGAAAGCCCGTCAAAGTGCAAGTAGATAAATAGGTTACCTTCCTCTGGAAGGAAGGTAAACAGCGTTTCCGTGTGCTGCTCTGATTCGCCAGAAGCGGCTTAGTCATGCTGGCCACATGACCCGGAAGCTGTACGCCGGCTTCCTCGGCCAATAAAGCGAGATGAGCGCTGCAACCCCAGAGTCGGCCACGACTGGACCTAATGGTCAGGGGCCCCTTTACCTTTACCTTTACCTAGGGATGCCAGCAATGCAACCTGGGGCCCTCTGAATGCAAGACATGTGCTCTGCCACAGATCTATAGGCCTTTCTCAAAGGAAAATCCCACCCCATCATCGCACCAACACCAGAAAGCAGCTGCACTGTGATTCCTTTTCCTTCTTTGCAAGTGCCACTTAAAAGGGCACAGCAGTTGGCTCATTTCCTTTCCTCTCAATTCAGTTACAAGTGCACTGTGCATCATTAGCAAGGAAAAGGCAGCGGTGCCGTTTGCAATGCAATTCATTTTTCATTTAAACCAGAATGCAGATTACTGCTCAGTGAGAAATTTTCTCCTTTACATTTAGCAGGTAACTTGTATGCTTAGAGCTTGTAAGTGACCCCCAAGTCTCCTTTCCCTTGATGTGGAAGCAGTTCCAGGTTATCCTAAGCCTCTTGTTAGCCAATTAAATCCACTTGTTTTATTTATTAAAGTGTTTAAAAAGAAGGGCTGAAGCAAAGATAAGGCAACTGGGTCAAAATGTCTTCTTTTAATTGCACCAAACTTGCCCCAGAGGGATAGTGGGTAGCTTTATGCTGGAGCTGGTATTTGCAGAGGTTATTTGGAGAACACCAGGGGTTATATTTTATTTCTTTCAAAATTAGTTCACTGGGGAAATCTCATTACATCAGGAAATGGCAGCTGCATTCCCAGCAGGTTTGTTTTGCATGGTGTTGCTGCAGTCAGTGGAAGTAAACCAGGCTTTTGCCAGGTGAACATCTGGCTTCTGGTTTTCCTTGAAGATCCCTAGAGGATGGTTGTTAATGTAGGTTTTTTCCCTTGAATTCCACAGCTAAAGCTCAAAGCACACATTGCTTGTGCTTGACACTCATCTTGGGGTTGGGCTTAAGACAATGATTTAGTAAGAGTGACCCAGGTCTTGTTGTTCCATTGTCATACACACACGACTAAAACAATGTGTAAGACATATCGTGAATTTTCAGCAAGAGATGAAAGCAAAGTTGCACTTCACTGAAATGGGGGCACATTTACAGCATTCAAATTAAGAGCATGGTCACCATCTCTGATATTGAATGGTAGAGTTTATATGAAACCTGCAATGAAGGAGCTCTCCTCTCTTCTGGGGCCTCAGACTCCATGTATTGCTTAAGAAGCCTAGTTCAAAAACGTACGTTTATGGTTAGTGTCAGGCAGAAGGTAAGACTGTGGCCCCCCTGATGCTCAGTTTCTTGTGAACCAAGTAATGCTGTTGAGTGCTGTGTTTTTGCAAAGAGACACAGGTGGAATCTACGCACATATAAAAAAACAATGTGAACATGCTTTTCAAAAAAACGTTTTGAAAAATATATTGAATTTGCCATTGCTCACCATCGCCATCTAGCATAACATTTGTATAATGCACTTTACAACACACTTAAAACATTTCCTTTGCAGCTGTATGGCTGAGTCCACAGTCCTCTTGTATGGTAATTCCCGACCATTTGCCACAAAAAGAGGGAAGTAACCCACATTTTCTTAAGTGGGAGGAAGTTTCAAGAGTGGCCCCCTTACTCAGAGTCTGTTTTCTTTTGCAGGTGTTATTTTAATTTTTGTTTTTTAATTTAGTTCCATTTATGAACCACTTCCTATGAAGCACCTCAATGTGACTAACGATATCAATGTCAAAAATAAAAGCATACAAAACCGTTTTGTCTATAAAAACAATTTCATGTAAAACATAAAGGAAAATACCGGATATTTGCAGTGCTTTTGTAATACCTCTCTATAAATGCACAAACAAAGTATGTTGGAAGTAATCAGACTCCAAAAGGAGGTAACATAACTTGTAATCCTGCTTCAGATTCCCATGAGGCAACAGCATCACTCCTTTCCTGCTACAGACCTCCTAGACTCATTTCAGTACAACTAAAGTTACAGCTCTACCCACTTTCAAAATTATAAATCGAAACTGTTTTCAACCACTCCCACCGCCGGGTGAAAGGTGCAATGCAGAGAAAGGTTAAAGGACATATTGAAAGCCATTAAGGAACAGTAAAGGTAAAAAAGGTAAAGGACCCCTAGATGGTTATGTCCAGTCAAAGACCACTCTGGGGTTTCACCACTCATCTCGCTTTCAGGCTGAGGGAGCTGGTGTGTGTCCATAGACAGCTTTCCAGGTCACATGGCCAGCACGACTAAACCGCTTCTGGCGCAATGGGACACTGTGACAGAAACTAGAGTGCATGGAAACACCATTTACCTTCCTGCCACAGTGGTACCTATTTATCTACTTGCGCTGGCATGCTTTTGAACTGCTAGGTTGGCAGGAGCTGGGACAGAGCAACGGGAGCTGACCCCGTCGCAGGGATTTGAACCGCCGACCTTCCAATCAGCATGCCCAAGAGGCTCAGTGGTTTAGACCACAGCGCCACCCACATCCCTTCTTAACCCATTTTGTTAAGACCATTTGTTAACTCCTTGTCATCCGTCACATGACAGGCGAGTCAAAACCGTAGTGATACGCCCATTTACAATACTGAACAGTCTTCTAAACATGATATTTCACCCCCTGTGTGTCTATTTGCATTTATTTGCCTGTGCGCAGTCTGTTTCCTTGCTCCATTGTCCTTATTTGAAGGATCCGTTCCTATGCCTTAGTGAGGAACTCCATCAGTTCCCCCGTGCACAAAAAGACACAGTCTGAATGGAGGGGTCAGGAAAGTTGACAATAATAAGCATATATTTAAATTAACAATATAAATGTGTGATAAGGGATGCAAAGCACATCAAGTGAGAGAACAGCTGCCCACCTTAAGATAACAGCTTTGGGAGAGAGAAAGAAACCCAGGTACCGGATGACAGACCACTCAGGATACTGTATATAGTTATGGCTGCAGTCCTATACCTACTTACTTGGCTGAAAGCAGAATGAGACTTGCACCTGAGTAGACGTTATAGAATTGCACTGTTCTTGTCACAAAATCTATAAAAAAGCACTACAAACCTCCAAGACCCAAGCCTAGGCCAACTAGTAATAATATTATGCTCCTGCTTATTCAAGTAGAGGCAGGCTTCTTCAGCTACATTCTTTAATCATATGTGTTTCCTCTGCCCTTATATGCAATAGAAAAGTGATCTGCATTAGCAAAAGGCTATTTGAACAATATGCGATCTGCTATAACCAGTCCACACATTAATTAATAGGGATAGAAATCTGCCTTTTCATTAATTTATGCTGCTCTTTAGCAAAATCAGAAGCAGCCACTAATGTGCAGTGCAGATGCAGCCTAATGGAGAAAGAGGGAACTCACATCGAATCCCTGGGGCAGGGCGTGCGTATAAACTACACTGCTTTACCTCTCAAATAACTTCTAATAGCAATCAGGATTAAAACTTAATTACAATCCTATGAAGCTGCATAAACTGGAATAATATCAGATTGTAGAAGTGTGTAGGTACATTTATTTATGTAAATGCATGCACATATCCACTCTGGGGGCCAGACTGGGACTGTCCTCCTGGGAAACCACATTTGGGTCATGGCAGCAGTACAAATAAGTGATTTGTGAGTAATAAAGTAAAATAAAATAAAAGGGGGGAGCCATTATTTTTACTTCTAGGTTGTATGAAAGCCTGACATGGGAAGTAGTCGTTTTATATGAAGGCTTCCGATAATGGAATCACACCAGAAAAAAACAGGAAAGAAGTGTGGTCCAACAATGAGGTATAGAGATTACAGAAGAATGCTATCCAGGAGGACTCCCACAGTTTAAAGGTTTACTATTCAGCAGTCACAGCAGTGAGAAAGTGACAAAATTCTGCATTTAGAGGGGAGGGATTGAATGCAGATGTGTTAAATGGTGGTTAAGAAAGCCCGACAGAGACTCCATCTCCTCAGAGTATTGTGAAAGAATGATGTCAATCAACATTTGATGATCTCCTTCTACTGTTCCACAATAGAAAGTGTCCTTTCATACTTCATCACGGTGTGGTACGCTGGTTTGACTTTAACTGATAGGAAGCGCCTACAGAGGGTGGTGAACACAGCACAAGATATTATGGGCTCTCCCGTGAATCTGCTGGATGAAACAGCAGAAGAACGTTGCCTCAGGAGAGTAAGGAAAATTCTCAGGGATGATTCACACCCTGGCCGGCACTTTCTTGATTACCTGCCCTCAGGCAGAAGATATAGAAGCATGATTAGTCGCACCAACAGGGTAAGCAACAGCTTCTATATGTGGGCTGTTAGGCTGCTGAATGAAAAGGTAACAACAGGGCAACTGACCTTTGGGTTTGGTGAGTGTGCGTCAGTAAATGAAGGGAATTAAGACTAAGAGAACTGTGTGGGGGGTGCTCGTGTAATCTCACTGTATACAAGTTGTACAAGTGACAATAAAGTATTTCAATTTCAATTCCTGCTGCTAATAGCCCACGTGAAAAAGATTGCGGGATTGGAATCAGTCATAAACTATCATGAACAGAGAAGAGGAAGGGTATCCCAGTGTGGGGTGTAGCAAGGACTGAGACACACCGGGGCAAGATGGAGATGGGGAAGGAGAGGTTGGTGTAGGAAGTACTCGCAGGATGATGGAGGATGGGGGTCAGTGCGCAGAAACCAGAGCAGCAGAATTGTGATGGCCTGGGATTCGGACCTGATTCTGAACCTGAGGGATCCCAGCCTGCACAGGAGTCCCCGCCTCCAGAACCAGCTGAGCTGGGGCTGGGGCATGAGCCTGAAGGGTCCTCACCTGTGCTGGATCCTCAGGTGCAGGCATCAGCTGAGTCTGCTCTGGCTCCTGAGGTGATGGAGGACCCATTGCCTGCAGGTGCTCCACTCTCAGCCCTGTCAGAGGAAGCTGAGGTTGCCTCTGGGTCTGGTAACCCTCCAGCCTCTCCTGAGCTGCAGAGGCTCAGGGCAGAGAGGCAGAGGGAACTAAGTTCCCGCAGGAGGAGTGCTCGCCTCCAGGCCAGGAGAGGCAAGTCACCAGAGGATCGGGGCCGCCCTATGCCTCGGGGCAGATAAAAGCCGGCCAGCCCCAGTCCCAAGTTGCGGGAGCAACATTGTTGGTTCCTGCCTGAACCCTGCCCTGCTTTCCTGCCAGAGCTCCTGACCCGCCCTGGCTCCCTGCTTGCAAGCCTGTTCCTGACTTCATCCAACTCCCTGCCCTGCACCCAGCTTCAGCTACTATGGACTGCCTCCACGTTGCATCTTTGACCACGGACCAGACTTGGACCTCGTCTCTCGGGTAACCCATGGGACCAGCACAAGGATCCATAACCAGAGCCAGAGGGGCTCCACGAACATGGCAGGCTCTAAGGTGTGGGGAGCTTCATCATCACATGCATCTGGGATTTCAGAAGCATGACTTCCAAGTGGATGGGATACTTCATGTTAGAAATCAAACGCTGGGAATGATAGCCCTCACTACAGCTTCTTCTCTCTAATCTCTACCCATGTGCAAGGCTACTTGGGACCAGTCGGTCCATTTCCTTTCACTTTTAATAACAACAGAGCCTCCCTTATCCTCGTACTTCATATCCTTCTGCTTCATTTCAGTGCATAGCATTTGTCACCATTTCTTTTTGGATTAGTGCGAAAAGTAATAAAACTGCCAACTGGCTGTTTTCCGCACAGACTTCCTGAGGATAGCAAGAAGCCTGGTTTGTTTATTGCTTGTGGTGCCAAAATTTGCTATGTAGCTGGCCCCTAAAATATATATTGTTTGCTGATTAAATGCTTGGAAAGTTGTTTGGGACATTGTCTCCCCAAATCCCATTGAAATGAATGGTGCCTGTTTCAATCACAATGAATATAACTGGCTCATTCAAGAAGTTTGTATAAAAAGTACCACTGCTGCCCAACCATGAAGGGGGAAGACACACACACACACACACACACACACACACACACAAACACAAATGCTCATTTTTGCAAGCATTGTTTGGTTGGAGAACTGCATCACAAAATTTGGATATGTGCGAATTTCAATGGTTTTGGTTCTCATGTTGATTTGGAAAGTGCAGATTTTATAGATCTGGCTTTAAATCAGGGGTCAGCAAACTTTTTCAGCAGGGGGCCGGTCCACTATCCCTCAGACCTTGTGGGGGGCCGGACTATATTTTGAAAAAATAATAATGAACGAATTCCTATGCCCCACAAATAACCCAGAGATGCATTTTAAATAAAAGGACACATTCTACTCATGTAAAAACATGTGGTTCCCGGACCATCTGCGGGCTGGATTTAGAAGGCGATTGGGCCAGATCCGGCCCCTGGGCCTTAGTTTGCCTACCCATGTTTTAAATGCAAACTGAATCAAATTTCTCCCAGTGGTGATCATACACAGGGCCCCCAGACGTTTGATGGTTTATTGACCCTGCGCCGCCACGGCAATTGCTTTTTCCGCTGCCACTACCCCGTATCTCACGGGGACACACGGAGTCCAGTCAGTTGTTAACATAAACAAATAATCAAGTTTATTTTTAAATGCAGGAACAAGCTTATGGTTTCAGTTAATTTTTCTTGACAGTTTCTTAATCTTAGTTCCTAACAACTTCAGACTGATTATTCCCAACTATCTATCTGACTCCACCTAACAATTCCTCTCACTCTCTCACAATACAACTCTACCAACCCACACCTAAACCTCCCTCTTCCTTCTTCAACTCCCAAACCTCGACTGACTTTCAAAACCTCCCACTCTAGCTTTTATTCCCCCCTTGCATTCTCACTGGCCAATCACGTCACACCCATTTTAACGCTTTCCTTATGACCCATCCTAGGAGGCAAACGCCATACTCCCATTCCCCTACTTGGAAGTGAACAGATAACCAGTTTAGATCTCTGAAAGCGGCAAGATACATATCCCATGAGTTATCCCAGTCAAAATCCCGGCGGCTGAATTTTGAACTAACTGCCTTTTTCAAACTGTCTTCAAGGGCAGCCCCAAATACCATACATTATGGTCTAAGTGAGATGTCAACAGAGTGTGGAATTCAGACATTCCATCTACTACACAGAGAAGTGATTGAGGCTGTCAAAGTTGATCAGTCATCTGTCAGTAATACAATAACCCCACAAGGCTCTCTGGATCAGAGGCATGCCATGCCAACGTGTGCTCCTTGTCTCTAATACATATTCATTCCTGTCGTTGTTCAGCCAGGCACGTGTGAAATTACACTGAATTTTTTAAAAAAGTCTCTTACAATGAAGGAGGCTTACAGAATTTCCTAGGGATTAGTCCTTCTCTGAGAATACTATATGAATAAGTTCTTTTGCTCTCATCCACCCAAAGATAAACTTTAAATAATTGACTTTATTAAAAAAAATAAATAGCCCAATGGTTTAATGTTTCTAAGTTTTGCATTTAAGGGCAAATTTGCAATCCCAGGCAAAGATTTACGACACTGAACAGAGCCTAATTTCAGTGGCCTTTCTAAAGCTCAAAGATGTAGGAGTGTTATGGAAACGTTAATTAAACAATAAAAATTAGAACGTATGAAAATGCTACACCTTCCATATTACCTTAAAAAAACAACAACTTGACTCTTGACTCTTTGGGATTTAGCCAAACGTGTAAAATATTGAAAAATATATGTTATAGTCCTTTGGTACCTCATTACTGAAGATCTTCTTTTTCCGTTTCCATTACTGTCTAGTTATTTTATTCTCAAATCGTGTTATTTTGAATTACTGTGATTTCAGGGGGTATCATTTTAAAATTTACATGATAATGTATGCATTTTATTCAGCCAGTCATTAAATTTGTATCCCACATTTCCTTCAAGGAGCCTAAGGCAGCATACGTATGCAGTCTGACTGCCTTTCCCCTCAGTTTATCCTCACAATATCCCTGTGAGGTAGATCAGACTGAGTGTGGCTGGGCCAGGGTCAACCAGTGAGCTTCACGGCCAAGTGGGAATTTGAACTCGAGTCTTCCTGCCAACAAAGGTCCGTATAGTTAAAGCTATGGTTTTCCCAGTAGTGATGTATGGAAGTGAGAGCTGGACCATAAAGAAGGCTGATCACCGAAGAATTGATGCTTTTGAATTATGGTGCTGGAGGAGACTCTTGAGAGTCCCATGGACTGCAAGAAGATCAAACCTCTCCATTCTGAAGGAAATCAGCCCTGAGTGCTCACTGGAAGGACAGATCCTGAAGCTGAGACTCCAGTACTTTGGCCACCTCATGAGAAGAGAAGACTCCTTGGAAAAGACCCTGATGTTGGGAAAGATGGAGGGCACAAGGAGACGGGGACGACAGAGGATGAGATGGTTGGATAGTGTTCTTGAAGCTACCAGCATGAGTTTAATCAAACTGCGGGAGGCAGTGAAAGACAGGAGTGCCTGGCGTGCTCTGGTCCATGGGCTCACGAAGAGTCGGACACGACTAAATGACTAAACAACAACAACTCCCTAGTCTTCATTTACCATCACACTAAGAGTTTACACCTTTATATTGGTTCTTTGCTGCAGGAGTAATTTTGACTAAATTTGGTTACATAGGGTTCAAACAACTAATTTCCAAGTTGAGACAATCTCTTGACAGAGGGGCATATACAGTTTTGCATGTAGAGATTATCAGGTATTTCCCATTAGAAGGGTCTCAAGCAGCATAACTGGATTAAAGAAATGCCGCTGGTCTTGCTTCTTACAAGAAAGCTGCACATTTTTGCATTCTCCTAACACATATCTTCATTCTTTCACAGATGCATTACAGCACTTACTTCTCTGAGCTGAAAGAAACTGCTAGAGCTTTTAATTTGTATTGCTTTATGACTGGAGAGTTTTAACTGGATTATTTTCTTTGCTGCTGAGTGGTTTTTAATTTTGTTGCTATTTTTATCTTGCTGCTCTTACTAATTGTGCGTTGTTTAGTAGTAGTATTTTTTAAAAATCTATAAATTGCTTTAAAAATACCTTTTGAAATGGTGGAATGTGGAAAGTGGGGGCACTGTTCTCCAATGGTTCCATACCTATCATGTCTGGCGGGTTTAAGAAGGGGGTTACTGGGGTTTGTGGGTGCCATGTCCTCGGGCATATGGATTATGTTTTGTTCCCTCTTCTGCTCAACATCCTGCATGAAACTTCTGAGAAAGGTTAGCCAGAGATCTGGAATGAAATGTCACCAACATTCTAATGAAACACATCTCTATCTCTCATCTTCATCTATTTCATGTGTAGCATTGATGTCCTGAATAGGCATATGGCATTTGTAATGGGCTGGGTGAGGGCCAATGAAATGAAGTTCCTATTCCCTCTGAAAGATATGGCCCTAGCTTCGGTGTCTGGTCAGATCCAGCTTCATGGATGGGTATCCATGCGCATCTCTTAGCCCTAACTTGTCTCACATGGTTGTGAAGATAAGATTGAGTGGGAGGAACCTTGTATGTTGCCTTGAGCTCCATGGAGGAAATATGGAATAAATAAATGCAATAAAGAGGTGTACTCCATGGGCATGTGAGAAATGAGGGTGTTAGTTTTTCACATAAACTACAAATGTAACAAGTATGTTTCTGAGCACAATTTAAAGTGTTGGTGCTGACCTTTAAAGCCCTAAATGGCCTCAGCCCAGTACACCTGAAGGAGCGTCTCCACCCCCATCATTTAGCCCAAACAGTCCAGCTCCATGGGCCTTCTGACAGTTCCCTCACTTTGAGAAGAGAGGCTACAGGGAACCAGGCAGAGGGCTTTCATGGTAGTGGCACCTGCCCTGTGGAACGCCCTCCCTTCAGGTGTCAAGGAAATAAACAGCTATCTGACTTTTAGAAGACATCGGAAGGCAGCCCTGTTTAGGGAAGCTTTTAATGTTTGATGTTTTATCGTGTTCTTAATATTCTTTTGGGAGCCTCCCAGAGTGGCTGGGGAAACTCAGCCAGATGGGTGGGGTATAAATAATAAATTATTGTAATAAATTATTATTATTATTATTATTATTATTACTTAGGCAGACGTCAGTCCAGATTGACCCACTTCTCATAACTGGAAATGTGGTTCTCGTAACTGGAGATGTTTAGAACTTGTGGTCAGGATGTGGTCTTTTACCTTGACTTAGTGAATAACTGCATAGGAATGTAGACCAAATAAGGAAAATAATAAATAAGGATAAAGGGGAGCTGAACTAAGGTTAGTGGGAGATATAAACAGAGGCAGGGATGTTAGCAGGGAAATTAGGCGGCCGTGATAGGTTGTAAACCTTGTAGTACCCAGCCAATAGGGAGACAAGGGAGGGAACCTATGCTTTGAGTACAGTGGTACCTCAGGTTACATATGCTTCAGGTTACAGACTCCGCTAACCCAGAAATAGTGCTTCAGGTTCAGAACTTCGGGATGAGAACAGAAATTGTGCTCCGGTGCAGCGGCAGCAGGAGGCCCAATTAGCTAAAGTGGTGCTTCAGGTTAATAACAGTTTCAGGTTAAGAACGGACCTCTGGAATGAATTAAGTACTTAACCCGAGGTACCACTGTATAGGGAATATAAGCTCATGCTTTGCCAAAGCTTGGGTGTGGCAATCACACAGGGTCCCCGGACGTTTAACGGTCTATTGATCCCTGTGCCACCACTGTGCTTGCTTCCCCGCTGCCACCAACCAGTTACTCTCTGGTAAAACATTGAGTCCAATCAGTTGTTAAAAGTGAACCAAAAAAAACAAGTTTATTTTACAAACATTAACAAGTTTATGGTTTCTCAGATAATATTCCTGTCAGTATCTTAACTTTAGTTTCTTTACCGCCCTATACCTTCCTAATACCTTCTGACTGATTATCTCAACTGTTTGACTGACTCCTCTTAACGAATTCTCTCACTCTCTCACACCAGACTAGCCCAACCCACAGACTTATCTTTTCTGTCTCTTCTAACTCCAGACTGTCTTCTCAACAACTCTAACTCTTAACTTTAACTCTAACTCCCTAAAAAACCTCTGTGCTTAAACCTTATACAGTTAACTCTGTCCCCTGGGTTCCCATGGGTTAGTCATTTTACAATTAGTTAACCCTTTCCCTATGAATCCAATATGATGTCACACACATAGGAGGGCAAACACCACAATGGGTTTTGCCTACTTTGGACACCTGCTCTTGCAAGAATGTATTGTACCAAATAAACACTTTGCTGCTTCATCAATTTTGTTCAGACTGTATTTTAAGGAGCAGGATTAAGGGTTTTAGAACCCACTATTTTTTATAATTTTTATTAATTTTTCTTTTTTTATATTCATTTAAGAAACCTTAAAACATCAATGACTTCCCTTCTTCTCTTTCCATGCTTCATTTTATATAGCAGAAATCCCTGCATATTTTATATAAACTAAACTATTCAGTATTCCATTATTGCATCCATCAAAACTTATTGACACTTTTGAATTTATCTCAATGCAGCCAACGTTTTTAAGTGTACACAACCCCCCCATGTATTCAATAAACATTTTCCAATCTTCTTTAAATGAATGTTCTTCTTGTTCTCTTATTCTCTACGTTAGATCCGCAAGCTGCGCATATTCCATCAGTTTAAGTTGCCATTCTTCTTTGGTTGGGTTTTCCATTTTGGGGCTAACAAAACACGGGCTGCCATAGTGGCATACATAAATAACCTTTTTTGACACCTGGGAATTTCCATCTGAATTATCCCCAACGAAAAGGACTCTGTTTTTTGTTTTGTTTTTTGGAAAGGTGCTTTTAAACATTTTCTTCATTGAAAAATATGTTTAAAAGGACCCATTTCTTACAGTGGACAAAGCTGATCTTCTTGAACATTACCCCCCTCTTCTTTTTGTCCCCCTCTCTTATCTCTGTCTCTTTGGGTAGTAAGTATCCGAAACCGTCGGATAGCTAGGGTTTCTTACCTCTCTGTGCATCTTATCTTCGGACCCTGCTTCTCTGCTCACACACGGCTGGCCATTTCAGTCAGAGGTAAACTGACAGCCGCTGTGCCCACATACTGCAGCTACCCACCTCAAGAAGAGAAGTGAGATGGTGCCCATTTGCTCCTGCCCCTCTCAGTAAAAGACAAAGAGGCACTGTGCCAGTAGTACTGCTGCTGTCTAGGACAGTGTGAGAGAGACTGGGCAATGTGATTCTCCCCTGGCTGTAGGAGAGAGGCTAGCCATTGTGACCTCATTCTGATGCTCCCCTGCCCGTAGGAAAGAGGCTAGCCATTGTGACCTCATTCTGATGCTCCCCGGCCTGTAGGAGAGAGGCTAGCCATTGTGACCTCATTCTGATGCTCTCCTCCCTGTAGAGGAGAAACTGGCCATTGTGATTCAATTCTGATGCCACCTGCTGCTAGAAGAGAAACCGGCCATTGTGACTTCCAAGGTCACTGTGACCTTCTGTTGAGGCTGCTTTCCAGAAGAGGAGAGCCTGGCTTCTGCGATCTTGTGCTGGCGTATTTTGTCCGAAGGAAAGAAACTGGTGATTGTAACCTAATGCTGATTTTCCTACCTAAAAAGCAGAGACTGGGTGTTGTGACCTTTCGCTGATGCGCCCTGCCTGGAAGGGAAAGGCCTTGACATTATGTCTTCGCACGAATGCACCTTACATACTTGCATGGCTGTACGGATTTTGCCCACCTGAAAAAGAGAGAAACTGACCAACATGCCCTCCCACGATGGCTGTTGGTCCACATTCTCAATTGGGTATGCAGCAGGTCTCTGACAGAGGGCCCAGCTCAGTCAAATTGGTCTCTGCTGTGACATAATTATTATAAAAGTGCTTGCTGAATAAGGCTTCTTAAGACTTAGAATCTCCTCTCCTGCCTGTAAAACAGCATTTTTTGTTGGCTGATGTGTAAATGGAAAGTGTCACTTCACTATTGCAAATGTGCTCTTTATGTTTCCATGACTTTCTCAATGACAAAAATGATCTTCCAAATAATAATAATGTTGTCCACAATGTCAGTAAAAGCTGAATTTGCAATCCTCTTATGCCTAACTTTGGGTATGATGAGATCAGACAGCCATTTGCCAACCGTTGTCACCCTAAAGCTCTTTTAAAATAAACTTCAAAGAGGAGGTGTTGGTTCTGAGAAAGCAAATCACAGAGGTGGATGATGCATAGCTAATTTTTCCCCTGCTGCTGTTTCAAGTACAACTGAGTAATAGACCAGGTAATTCTGAAACTGTCTCCTTTTGATAACTCAGGTGTCATAATTTCTGGACATATATTAAAACCAGCTCAAAAGTTGACACGGTGTGTCTAGGTACATCTGCTTTTGACAAGCTAAGCTGCACCTTGACCTGTCAAAGTAGCCACAAAGTCATTCTCTCTCTCGCTGAAACAAACTTTATTAGATTTCTGTCCAAAGAAAGACTGGTGAGGATGAAACAATTTTTGAAAAGAAAAATAAGGCTACCTTCCCCTTTTATAAACAGCTAGATATCAAGAATAAACTTTGCATGCATGATGGATGTTGGGTACTGAAGAATCCAGGACATAGAAAGAAATCCATGACGCCAACCTGGTGTTCCTACGAGTTGTGCATCCATACAGCCCCAAACTCGCTGCTACCCTGCCCCACCCCCATCCAGGTAAGCTGTAGTGACACCAGTGTCAGGAAGACAGCTCCACCCCACCCCACCCTTAACTTCTGCTTGGTCCAGTAAAAAGAGAGAAAGCAGAGACAGAGCTTCACAGAAAGGCTCCTAATTAGAGGGGTAGGAAAAGAAGCATCTAAGGACAGAATAATAGAGATTTTGGATGTAAGTTGGAGAGAGGGTGGGTGGAAGAAAGGGGAAGAGAGGGAGATCAAGTGTATCAAAGGCAGTAGAGAGGTCAAGGAGAATGAGGGCCAAGCAACTGATTTCATGGAGGAAGACCCACCAGAAATGAGCTGCTGTTCTCATTAGGTGTCAGGGACCGTGCTGAGGAGGGCTGCACTGCGGTTGAATGGTGGGAGACGTCCCCTCCCCCTCCCCCTGCTCCTGAGCAGGATCCTGAATCTTCCCAGGAGCAGTGGGACAGTATAGATTTGGAACAGTGGTTTGCAGAGGGACATAGTTCAGAAGGCAGAAGTTGGGAAGAACTGGGTGGTGAACATCTAGGAGAAGAAGAACTGGGAGAGAGAGAGTTAGCAGACTCACTTTCGCTGGAAAGCGTCCATCCGCTCAGCCCAAGGTCAAGGAGAGCAGATAAGGTGGCAGCACAGAAAGCACAGTGGTTGCGAGATCAGGTTGCAAGATGCGGAAGTGACGTGGGTGACAATGGAGGAAGTGGGTGAAATCCTTAATTGGGAGCACCTTCATTCTTAGGAATGGTTTCTTGGTTCTCTCGCTGTGATCATTAAAATCTCTAACTGGTAAGAGGCTCCTTTTGCTTTGTTCTGTTTATCTACTGCCAAAGGGGGGTGGGGAGGAAGCTGAGTTCCTAAAGCCTGACATTAGGCCTGAAACTCTGCCAATGTGGAGATTGAGTTTTTGCTAATAAAGAGTTAACTCCAACTGTGGACTGTGTGATTACTGATTGGCATGCTCTGTGACACCAATTAGCAGTGTCTCTCCAAGGTTTCGGACAATGAACATTTTCAGCCCTGCCAGGAGATGCTAGGGACCTTCTGCATGCAAAGCACTCAGCCCTTGCCCAGTTTTGTGAAGACTCTCTGTCATCCAGATGTCTGGAAGGGAGGCACTAATGATCTGCCCCAGCAAAAGCGAACTTTTAAAATGCTCTCTGTGTTTGGTTATTGTATTTGCAGAGAGCTATGCAGCCTCGTGAAATGGCCTCAATAGTTCACCTTAGCTGCAACGTGCATTTCCGAAACCAAAGCATATAACTAATTCAATAGGAAGCAAATGGGACTGAAGAAGTTTTAAGAAGCAAGTTATATACTGTTACAAAAGATATATTCAGCCGCTTGGCCACAGAAGTCAATAAAGCTATGATGAATTACAGCAGCTGAAGGTCTAACCTGTATAGCTTTATGTACTTTAGCTGTGGTATTTGAAATATGCCCTTTACATACTTGGGGTTTATTGAAAAATACACAATAATTTTCATAACCGCGGCTTGTAATTCTTAGGATTTTCATTGGACTTCTTGTTCCAGGATTTTGTTTGAAATGTATTTATTTTTCATCCCTGAGGGTCATGCTGGGAAAGTTAAAAGAAAAACAAGGCACCATTTGGCAGATATTATTCTTCGGTGCTGCAAAGCTTTTTGGTGGGTAAAAAGCAATTAGAAAGTTGCACCTGAATTCAGTTTTTGCTACACACATTTGCTATACACATAATGAGCAACATGTAAAGAATAGGAATGTTTCTTCAACAATTAATTCTTAATTGCTGGTTCACACATGCATGGTCATCATATATTGATTCTAATATCAAAAAATGTCATAGTATGGCTGGTCTGTCACAGTTGGAACAGTCATAGCACCTGACACCACCCCAAACTTTTCAACTGAGTCAATTCACACCTCCAACTGCAAGGCTGAAATTACACATGACCCGAGCTATAGAATCATGGAGGAGACCTTGGAAGCCACCCAGCCCAATGTAGGATCTGCTATGTAAGCCTTCCTCAACCTCATGCCCTACAGATGGTTTAGACTACAATTCCAGTCATCCCTACCCATAGGGATGTAATGATTCTTCAACATGAACTTCGTTGGGACTGGTCATGTGGTGTGGATGCCTGATTATTGTCTTCCAAGGCAACTATTCCAAACTTAAAACTGGAAAGTGTAATGCTGATGGTCAACAAAAGAGGTTTAAAGACTCTCAGGGCAAATCTAAAGAAATGTAGTATAAACACCAACAACTGGGAAACACTGGTCTGTGAGCGCTCCAATTGGAGAACAGCCTTTACCAAAGGTGCCATGGACTTTGAAGACACTCGAACGCAGGACAAAAGAGAGAAATGTGCTAAGAGAAAGGCACACTTGGTAAACCCTCACCGTGATCAACTTGCACCCGGAAACCTCTGTCCCCACTGTGGAAGGACGTGTGGATCCAGAATTGGCCTCCACAGTCACTTACGGACTCACTGCTGAAACTGTGTTCATGGAAGATAACCTCACTTGGCCACGAGTGATCACCAAAGAAGAGGAACCCATAGGCTATGCTGGCTAGGGCTGATGGGAATTGTAGTCCAAAACATATGAAAGAGACCAGGCCAAAGATTGTTGAGCTATAGTATTCCTGACTGACAACCACCCAGCTTCTTGCTTAAACACCTTCAATGGAGGAGAGCTTGCCACCTCCCAAGGGAGTCTGACTGTCCCTCCTTCTTCTCAAAAAGCTGTCCTTGACTATGATTCATAGATGCCAACTGAACGGGCCCATGTCCCAATAAAATATTTGGACGACCACCCCCTAATATTGAGAACAATCAGGGGGCAGAAAAGGCTGAGTGTGGAGCTGCATGTGGTGTGGTTTCAGTAGCTGTTGGCTCCTCCTCATCCCGAGGGAAAGGAAGGGGGAAGCAGCCCCAGGCCAGTGGCAGTGGTAGGAAGAAGAGGAGGAGGCTAACCGCCAGAGAAGAGGATCCAGCAGCTATTGCAGCCATGCTGCTGCTGTCTTCGGCTCCACCCCTTGGCTCCTCCCAGCATCCCATCATGAATGAGTCATTGCCCCCCCATCTTCTGCTCAAGTTGGCACCTCTGCTATGAATGCCTTGCTGCACATTACGGTGCCTGGATCAGGGCCATAGTGTGCGCTACTGCCGTTAAAGTGACCAGACTAGGCATTTTCAGCTTACCACCATCGCAACAACTTTTCGCTAAGAAAGAAGAATAAATCAGTTCTCAGGCTGGAGGGGAAGTGACCCTCTCACTATAGTCGTGACTACCCACCCATCACGTTTTAGGACATGAGAACTGCAAAAGACAGATTTGCAAAATATATTTCCTAGGGTTTCCATGTTTCAAAAAGGAAAATCAGAACACCCCAGAAGTTTTTTTAAGGAAGACCCCAATTTTTCCCCTGGAAAACCAGAAGAAATCGAAACATGATTTTTTGATTGACTTGCCTAAGATCCAGGACAAAGCACCACATTTTGGAAATTCCCCCCAGACATCAATTACACCTTTGAAATTCCGGTAATGTCTGGGAAAATCCGGACGTATGGCAGCCCTACATTTCCTACAGTGTTCAACGCTAAAGATACTTCGGAAAGGAAGAGACTGAATCCATTTGCAGCTTGATGAACTCTGTTGTCACCTTGTGGCAAGCTCTGCTTCAGCATGGAGAGCTTCATCTTGACACAACATCTAGACACATTACATCTTGGAAGACGGGGAGGAAACCCCACCGTTTTATCAGCTTCATGCTGATATGGTTATTTAGCAGAGGTTTCAGACATATTTAAAATGATGCATTTACTGCCCTTGACATGGGATAAGTTGCGACTGCTATGGAACCTGATGCAAGAAATGTTTAAAGAGTATGTCAGCAGTGGTTGGCAGGATACCATCAGCAGTCTTGCTAAAAGATGAGCTGCAAAAGACTGATTTTTCAAATAGGGTTTACTTCCCCCCCCAAAATTTTTTTGTTGGTTTTCACAATATTATAAACAAACAAACAAACAAACACACAAACACACAAGACAAACAAACATAACAAACATAAATCATAGCCTTATTGAAAATTACAGTTATTAACTTTGTTAAGTGACTTCCTCGCTTCCCCTTGGTTGAATTTCATTGCATGTCCTTTTAACGGTTTTCCAAATCCCAATTTTTATGAAATTTAACTTAAACATTAACATCCTTAAATCTTCACCTTATATAATTAAACCTATTAATTCATCACTTAACATAAAGAAAATCCTAAGCCTATTAAGTATCTGCAAGCTATTTCCGGTTAATTTAACTTAACAAATATAACTAAATAATCATTAAATTTATTCCATTCTTCCTGATATTCCTCCTCCTTCTGGTCGCAGACTCATCCGGTTAGGTCGGCTAGCTCCGAAAAATCCATCATCTTCATCTGCCATTCTTTCCAAATAGGGTTTACTTATTCATTAGGCTGATCAAATCAGGCTTTTCCTGAGCCGTCTAGTTAGTAAATGCAAAATGGCTAAGGGATACACATTTTAAGTTGCATAGTACACACAGAGCCTAGGACTTGCTGATCAGAAGGTCGGTGGTTTGAATCCCCGTGACCGGGTGAGCTCCCATTGCTCTGCCCCAGCTCCTGCCAACCTAGCAGTTCGAAAGCACGTCAAAGTGCAAGTAGATAAATAGGTACCGTTCTGGCGGGAAGGTAAACGGCGTTTCCGTGCACTGCTCTGGTTCTCCAGAAGCAGCTTAGTCATGCTGGCCACATGACCTGGAAGCTGTACGCCGACTCCCTCGGCCAATAAAGTGAGATAAGTGCTGCAACCCCAGTGTCGGCCACGACTGGACCTAATGGTTAGTGGTCCCTTTACCTTTACCTTTAGTACACACAAGGTGAATGACACATGACTTTAGTTTGCTTGCTTCTTTATTTATTTATGGTTTCCCACCCTGCCCCCCCCCCAAAGCATGCAAACAAAATAATAAACTAGCATTAGGATGTCAAAAGAACAGGAAAGTTATAACAATTTCCTATTTACAGATGTAACTGAAATCTCATCAGTTTCTGCATACGGCTCCTTCATCAGCTAGAGGTAAAAAGTTAAAAGACCCCTGACTATGGGGTTGTGGAGCTTATCTCGCTTTTCAGGCTGAGGGAACCAGTGTTTGTCTACAGACAGCTTTTTGGGTCATGTGGTTAGCGTGACTTAATCACTTCTGGTGCAACGGAACAACGTGACTAAAGCCAGAGCACATGGAAACACCGTTTACCTTCCCGCTGGAGCGGTACCTATTTATCTACTTGCACTGGTGTGCTTTCGAACTGCTAGGTTGGCAGGAGCTGGGACAGAGCAAAGAGCTGTCACCCTGTCGTGGGGATTCAAACCGCCAACCTTCCAATCAGAAAGCCCCAGAGGCTTAATGGTTTGAACCACAGCGCCACCCACGTCCCTTTACCTCAGCTACAAGCCTATTATCTGTGTCTCTCTTTGTTCTCTACCATGACTAGTGTGGCTAAATATTTAAAGGCAAAGGCAAATTTTTAGGAATTTAAAGAGATGGAAGAGAAATTCATACCTCCAGAAATCTGACCATGCAGACTTAAACACAGCTATGTCTCTTAATTTTATGTCTCTAATTAAGTAATGTGTTCTAAAATGCATATATTATGGGACAACAACATAGAAAATGCACTATATTAAAGGAAAATATTTGCATATTATGCAGAATTACCTGTACAAATCAAATGTGTGTATTAGAAATGCACACTAAAATGCTGGCAGATTTTCAGCAAGAAATTTGCTATATATATAAATCACAAACTGTTATGGAATACAGCAAACTAAAGTTGAGGATGGAAAAATGAGAAACTGAAGGAAACCAGCTTTGACAGATTCATGCATCCCTACAGATTACAAAATAATAATAATAATAACATGAAGCCATGTACATTTTGAGCTGTATTCAGCTCTTCTCTTCTGGGATAATATGAAAAGTAAGCAATAGCAAAAGAAGAATAAAAAGGGAAATTATACATTACAAAAGCTTTTCCTCTCAAATTGTCCACATTAGAGATTTTCTAGCAGGCAATGAAAGCCCCCCAAACATTCTACCAGAGCAACATTATATTTGCACAAGTGCATGGCGAGTTCCCACCTCCCCATCAGAAATAAAGACACAAGACACCAATATTTTAGGTTAATGGGCGAAAATAGGCCACAACTTTATTGATTACAGGAATTGAGTGGTATTGGCTTAGGCATTGGTCCTATCAACTAACCGGCTTCAGCCTGATTGCTTGAAGACCGGCAAGGGTTAACCACCAGTAGGGGGAGTCCTGCTGATGCACATCAACTAGGAGCTCCCCCGGGGTCACCGCTCGGGGGCGTTCCTTTAGGCCCTCACCTCCATAGGCTTCGGACAGGGTGACGCCCCCTGGAATCCTTTACCGGACTACCCTTCGATATGGGGGAAGGTGATGGCGCTTCCTCCCCCCTCTCATCTGCATAACAATACCCTCACCAATGCCTAACCGCCAATGCTGAGGAAGTTGTGACGATTTGCTACGAGGTAGGCGAAAAACCAAATGGCTGGTGCCAATTTGCCAAGTGGAAAAAATTCCTACCAGGCCCCTTAATGGCGACCAACCGAAGTCCATAGCAATGTCAGAGAGCCAAACCTAAAGGGTGGGAGGGTAGGAAACCGGGGCAGCTGGAGTGAAGAAAGAGGGAAATCCTCGACTGCGCCAGCCCTAAATAGTGTGGGCCACGCCTCCCAGGCCAGCTGATTGGCTGGCAAAGGAGATGACGCGTCCGAGGATTCCCCCAGTCTCGCAGGGGCTATTAGCCAGCCCCCGCGCACGTGGGGAGGGCGTGAAGCCCACAACCCCACCTCCTCTCCAGCTCAGAAGTGGCTTTAACACAAACACCAGCCTTAAGATAAACAGAATGTGTTTGGTGAAATTTCCTAACTTTAAGTAGGAATGTTAAAATGCAGAACTGACAGCCAAAGTGGTTTTAAATAATTAACAGTGCAATGCTAAACATATTTACACAGAAGCAAGACCTAGTGCATTCAATCTGACTTCTTTCTGAGTAGACATGCAGAGAATTGTGTTGTAAATCACTTTTCTTTCTCAAACAAAAGAGAGAACTTTGCCTGGAAAATGGGTATTCATTCCCAATCGAGCTAATGATGTAGTTGAGAAAGGGTGTTCCATTAACAGCTTCCCAGCAGACCAATCTTTCTCTGTCTCTCTCTCTCACTTTCAATAACACAATTTTTTGTTGAATAATTCTTAGGACTGCTTAGAAGTAATTGTGGTGGATGAATGAACACACTAAATGGAAACTGCATCACTTGTGCGCAATGATTCAAGCTATCCTAGAATGGGTGCATCTTAAGAAGAGCTGCAGGGAAATGCTTCCGTGATAAGAGTGAATAGCAAAGGTAATAACATGATGAAATGCTGTACCTTGGAGGGGAATTATTCAATTTAAGCCTTTACATAGAATATTCCGGGTGCCCATCTGAATGACATAAGCTGTGCTGCCTTGTGTTATCAGGAGATAATGCGGTTGTGACAATTTGCTCAGTGGCGAGAATCCATTGCCTGGTTCCCATAGGCAAAATGGCGTGCCGAGATGATCTCCCAGTGTTTAGGAAAGCAACGTGTACAGAATTAACTTTGGCTCTTGGGTTTCTGCAGATGGAAGAGTAAACTGCAAGTGCTTGACAGAGCACTGTCTAGACCTGCGTTTTTACCAGCAGTGTTATTAGCTGACATTCAGGCATATTCCTGAAAATACAGTGGTGCCTCGCAAGACGAAATTAATCCGTTCCGCGAGTGTCTTCGTCTAGCGGTTTTTTCGTCTTGCGAAGCAACCCTATTAGCGGCTTAGCGGATTAGCGCTATTAGCGGTTTAGCGGCTATTAACGGCTTAGCGGCTTAGCGGCTTAGCTGCTAAAAGGCTATTAGCGGCTTAGCGGCTTAGAAAAAGGGGGGAAAGTGAAAAAAATCTCAAGACTCGCAAGACATTTTCGTCTTGCGAAGCAAGCCCATAGGGAAATTCGTCCTGCGAAGCAACTCAAAAACGGAAAACCCTTTCGTCTAGCGGGTTTTCCGTCTTGCGAGGCATTCGTCTTGCGGGGCACCACTGTAATTGTTCTGCCATAAAAGCCAACTTCCTTTTTTTTTTTTAATCCCTCAATGGCTGCTTAAAATACCTAGAATTAAAAATGTAATAGCTGACCAGATTCTCCTTCTTCAGGTTGTCAGACTAATAACACTACCAGTAATAGCTCGGGTTTATATTTCAGAAATTGAAACCCTAACTTTACTACAGTGGTAGCTCGCAAGACAAATGCCTCGCAAGACAAAAAACTCGCTAGACGAAAGGTTTTTTTTGTTTTTTGAGCTGCTTTGCAAGACGATTTTCCCTATGGGCTTGCTTCGCAAGACAGAAACATCTTGCAAGTTTGTTTCCTTTTTCTTAACACCGTTAATACAGTTGCGACTTGACTTCGAGGAGCAACTCATAGAACGCGGTGTGGTAGCCTTTTTTGAGGTTTTTAAAGACTTTGGTGATTTTTGAAGCTTTTCCAAAACTTTCCCGACACCGAAAAAAATCTCAAGACGACAAAACTTGCGGAACGAATTAATTTCGTCTTGCGAGGCACCACTGTACTCCAGGCGCTTGCTCCCAAAGTCATCCCTAACAATCCCATCCAAAATGATGACCAGTGAGTTTGTATTCTCCATATACTGAAACCCAAAGACAAGATACAGTGGTACCTCGGGTTACAGATGCTGCAGTTTAAAGATGCTTCAGGTTATAGACTCCGCTAACCCAGAAATAATACCTCGGATTAAGAACTTTGCTTCAGGATGAGAACAGAAATCGTGCTCTGGTGGTGTGGCAGCAGCAGGAGGCCCCTTTAGCTAAAGTGGTGCTTCAGGTTAAGAACAGACCTCCAGGTTAAGAACAGACCTCCAGAACGAATTAAGTACTTAACCCAAGGTACCACTGTATACCCATTCTCCTCCAGTTAAGTACAGTACATGTGCACCATTGGTCAAATAATCAGTGATAGTGATGCTCAGCAATCTCAAGGAGGAAGGCGTAGGTCCATTGTCAAACAGTTACATAATGCTATGACATATCATATAAATTAATTCGTGCAGCCCAGCCCTTAATGACTCAACATGTTATAAATATTTTTGCAATGCCGGATATAACATTGCTACATGGGCAGCCCAGCTGCCTAGACAACCACTTTAAATGCGTCACAAGGGAATGCTGTTCTATTGAGATATCGTTCTCAGATGCTCTTCAAGCTGTGGCTCATACAGCACTTGTCCTATCTTGGGATATGCTGAAGCCTAATGGATTAATTTAAGACGGGGATAAAGTAGGATGACAAATGGAGCCAGTGAACCACAATCTTTCACTCATGGAGGCATGATCTTGGCTTGCCCTGAGTTTGGGAAGAGATGTGTGGAGGAACAGTTTTTCCAACCCCTCCAACAAACATATCTCTCTAACATGCTTAGCATTTAACCTAGTAGAGCATTGTGGAATTTTTAAAGGGCTTCTAGAAAGACTGGGGGCTCATTCATTCCTTCATATTATTTAGTGGATCTGAAACTATTCTTTAGCAAACACTTTTGGCAATTCTGAAGGCTGTCTTTTTGTTTCAATGGGTTTGCCTGTTTCTTTGGCTCCTCCTTTACTGTCACTTGGCCAAATCGATGTCATCTGATAGGCTGAACAGATTATGACCCTTGATTGGGTGAGAGCCCCCGTGTGACTAATTTAGGGAGGAGAAGCAGAGGGCAATATACAAGCCGTATTGGCTGTGGCTTTTGCACACACACACACACACACACACACACACGCAATAGATTTGGAACTGCTTAGTTAAATGTTTCCACTTCCGCCTTTCTTTATAACACAGTTGGGATTTCAAATGAATGTTGTGAGCATATCTGACAGTTTTAAGAACATTCTAGATGGAATAATTCTAAGGAGTGTGCAATTCACTTGTTTTTCATATATCGTGAATAAAGTATCATATACTTACTATCTATCTATCTATCTATCTATCTATCTATCTATCTATCTATCTATCTATCTATCTATCTATCTATCTATCTATCTATCTATCTATCTATCTATCTATCTATCTATCTATCTATCTATCTATCATCTATCATCTATATCTATCTATCATCTATCTATCTATCTATCTATCTATCTATATCTATCTATCTATCTATCATCTATCATCTATCTATCTAGCTATCTATCTAGCTATCTTCTAGGGCTACTTGTGTGAAGTGGCTTTTGTACACTTCTGCCTTATCTGAGAGCTGGTTCTCCATGAAACTGGAGAACTGCAAGCACAGTTGTTCTTAGCAGGATAATGATGATTTATTCGATTTGTGCATCGCCTACACAGAAGCCTCTAGGCGACATACAAATAAGAAATATGATTTAAAATACACAAATACAATTACATCTCATATAAAAACATCAATGACCCACCCATCCATTACACAAAACAATAGATTGGGGGAGGGAATGCTTCCCCGTACTAGAAACAACAATAGCAACCAAGATAAAACTGTCATTGAGAGGGAGATGTTAGCTGTAGACTCTAAAATCCTTCCCCCTGTGAAAACTGAAAATTACTAACACAAACACACACACACTTGTATGGGGTGGGGGTGGGGACTGTCTCTGCATAACGCTGAAAGGATTGTACAGAAGATACCAAGTAAATTTCCCTGGGGGAGAGTGTTGCATAGGCAGGGAGCCACCCCTTTTTCTTGTTGACACATTTCACATTTGTGACAGAGGAGGCACTGTGAGAAGGGCTCTGTAGATGATCTTAAGGCCTGGGTAGTCAAGTAATACTTACAATGAATTATGCATTTTATGGATTGTTTAATATATTTATAGTGTAACCTGCCCTGGGGTCATAAAATACAAATGGTGGAATTTAAGCATAATAATAATAATAATAATAATAATAATAATAATAAACAATAATTGATTTTCATTCAGGTAAAGTAAAGGGACCCCTGACCATTAGGTCCAGTCATGACCGACTCTGGGGTTGTGATGCTCATCTCACTTTATTGGCCGAGGGAACTGGCGTACAGCTTCTGGGTCATGTTGCCAACATGACTAAGTCACTTCTGGTGAACCAGAGCAGCACACGGAAACGCCGTTTACCTTCCCACCGGAGCGGTACCTATTTATCTATTTGCACTTTGACGTGCTTTCGAACTGCTAGGTTGGCAGGAGCTGGGACTGAGCAACAGGAGCTCATCCCGTCGCGGGGATTTGAACTGCTGACCTTCTGATCGGGCAAGTCCTAGGCTCTGTGGTTTAACCCACAGTGCCACCCGCATAGTGGGGTCCAAATCCTATAATGTTTTATAGGTTACAGACAACACTTTGCATTGGGCCTGAAAACACACTGGCAGCCAGTGAAAACACCTGCCATAATATGTTCAAAATTCAGGGTCCCATGAGTAAAAATGCTGCCATTTGGAGCAGCCTGGTGGACTTAATTCAACTCATACGTTGGATGTTGCCCATCCCTGCACTGTAGAATGCATTGACTCTCCATAGTGACTTTAGATATTATCTTATATCTAAATGGGAATCAATGCAGGAATCCAAAAGCCGCAGGCTCCCATGCCAAGATACGCTGGCAAATTAAAATAGCTGAACGGAAATGGATGGACCTAAGAGTTATTGGTCTGCTTAATATGCTCATCTCTCTAATGACCTCAACAAATATAATGGATCTAGGATCTGATATGTTTTTGCCGCTTGTCTCTTTAGATTTAATAGTCAGTTGATCAGGAAAAGAATAGAGAGAATGCACGATGAAAGTCAATCAAAGCTAATCAAACAGCCTTTAAAAAATCTATTCAGTTGCTTCTTTTGAAACTTCCTAGCTGCTGCCGCTGCTGCCAAGGAAGCAGAACATAGCCAAGACATCATAAACACGGCTTTATTCACATCCATCTCATGAAGACCTAGCCAACTCCTGTTGCAACCAGGAGCTGAATGGGTGTTCTGCTTGAGCAGTAGGACTGCCAGCTCAGAATCACCACACACTTTGCAGGTCTGCTTAACATGTTATGAATTTTCTTCATGGAAAGTGCTGCTGTGTAGCACCTGTCAAATGTATGAAGAAGTGCTTATCAGATACCAGGATGACACTGGCTACTATAATGGAAAAGGCTCTACACCATGCTCCCTGTGATCTAACCACAATAAACAGCATAATGTAGAACAAGCCTCTTCCAAATCATTTTATGATGGAGACTCAACTCCAGGCCCTATGAGATAGTACTCCTTATCCAAACCATTTCAATATAGTCTGTGGTACAGAGTGGTCACTGAAATTTCCTTGAATGGTAGGCAGCCTGCACTGGGGGAAGTGAGACCCACATTCATGTCAGTGGTTTGGTCCTATCTTCCAGTGGTTATTATGTTCCTATAGGGTAGCGCTGTGGTCTAAACCACTGAGCCTCTTGGGCTTTTGATTGTAAGGCTGGCAGTTCAAATCTGTGTGATGGGGTGAGCTCCCATTGCTCTGTCCCAGCTCCTGCCAACCTAGCAGTTCGAAAGCATACCAACGCAAGTAGATAAATAGGTACAACTGCAGCGGAAAGGTAAATGGCGTTTCCATGCACTCTGGCACTTGTCATGGTGTCCCATTGCAGCAGAAGTGGTTTCGTCATTCTGGCCACATGACTCATAAAAGCTGTCTGCAGACAAATGCTAGATCCCTTGGCCTGAAAGCAGAGATGAGCACCGCACCCCATAGTCAATTTCAACTGGACTTAACTGTCCAGGGATCCTTTACCTCTACCTATTATGTTCCTATCTGCTCAAAGATTGGTTACAGAACAGCATGGTACCCATGGCAATTGTGTTCTGAGATGAAGCTGAGCTCTACATTTAAATGCTGGGATTCTTGTTAGGAATTTGCAGGGAGATGGTATCAATCAATATGAGATCTAGTGCCAGCAGTGGTTTGAGTGTTGGCTCAGAAGCAAAGGCCTGGGTTTTGATTGCCTTGCGGTGGAGTTTATGTATAGTGCTTAATGTGGCTGGTTGGTTTATTGGCATTTAGTGTGGGCAGGTAAGAGGTTTCGATAACGACCAGCAGTCTGAGGCGTGTTGGGTAGACCTGACTCCACTAACCAACCCCTATCGTTGACTGGCTGAGGAAGGGGATGCTTGGCGCGATGATCTTGGAGCCTGTCAGGTGCCAGCTGATGATCACTGAGTACCAGGTTGGGGCTGGGGCTGGGGCTGGGGCTGGCACCTGTCAGGTCAAACACCTAGGGCTTCCTTTATGAGAAAATGGTTTTGCCTCCCTTCACAATAGCTTGGATGAAGGAGGCACAAGATTTTGTTTGGCTTGGCACATGTTGTCTTCATTATATTTTCATAAATATGTCCTTTTACCATAGCCATGTTCAGAGTCTTTATCCTGGGTATGGGGCAAATCAAAGCTACCGAGCAGCAATTTTGATGGTTAAAAATGAATAAATAAAAAGGGTGTATTATGTTCTGTTTCAAAGGGGCCAAGTATTGGTGGTGGGAGGAACTTTGTGATAGCTGCCTGGAAAGACAGACCATATAGAAAAATAAAAGAAAATGATCCAGGAAACTCATATGTGACTTAGGGGTGGCATCAACAAGGCAGGTTGGTTTAACCAAGCAGCTATCCTGAACTATTATATGTAATTGGAGTCTCACCATTTGGGATTAGGATTGCAGCAAGCACAGTAATTTCTCAAATGACTATATCTCTATATATTTTTCAAAAAATTGATGGCATAAATAATGGGGGGACGACGTATTGGCTTCAAATAAGCATATGTTACTGAGCACAAAAGCTTTAATCAGGAAATGATGGATAACCATATTTAAGCAGAGTATTAGCCTAATGACGTATGAAAGTGTAGTGTAGTTAAGTTATATTCAAATTTATTCTTTTAAAAGTCCTTGCTTTTTCAAGTCACGATCACTTCATCCTTGTCCCCATGGATTAGTTCTCACTGTTAAACTAGCATTTGGCTTGCTCCATTTGAGACTGCAGGTGGGAGATGACATATTTGAATCTGAGTCACCAAGTGCAGGCTGAAGTGGTTCAGTCATATAACCATAAAACTAGGCATATAGGAGTTAGTAATCTGGTTTGGATGTCTTCCATTAGATGCATAGATTCTGAATCATTAGTCTTATCCACAAGCACTGATATTTTCCGTTATATATGAAATAACCTAAGTTCTGAACTTTGAGTTAGCATTTTATCAAGATCCGCATGAGCTATTTAAGGGTATTAATAACACCCAGTTTACTATACAGTGGTACCTCGGGTTACGAACTTAATTCGTTCTGGAGGTCCGTTCTTAACCTGAAACTGTTCTTAACCTGAGGTTCTGCTTTAGCTAATGGGGCCTCCTGCTGCCACCGCCACACGATTTCTATTCTCATCCTGAAGCAAAGTTCTTAACCCGAGGTACTATTTCTGGGTTAGCGGAGTCTGTAACCTAAAGTGTCTGTAACCTGAAGCATCTGTAACCCGAGGTACCACTGTAAACCCTTATAGCTTGTTCCCAAACTGAAGATAATGCCAATTATAGAAATCAGAGTGTATTTTGTCTTGATCCAAGTGAAGTATGACCCATTTAAGAGTAGAAGTATCTACATAATTTGCATATCAAAACTGTGCTATGTATTCTTCAGTTTAAACGCTGGGTAGAAACTAGCAATTTCATTGGGGTGGCACACTGTCCCCTATAACTAAGATTGTGTGAATTTTGCACAATTTCTTTTTTCCTCTCTTTCAGGTCAGCTTGTTTCTTCTCTCTTTCTGGATTAGTCATATGGGTCACAGATCATTCAGTGGACATGATGACATCACAGCACCATTGGGTAGTGAGAGGTTGGCTGTAGAACATTTTGCTTCAGATGACTCAAGGAAATGGTTCATAAAAGCTGTTCATAAAATACAATTCCATAAAAGCTGTTCTTAAAATATGACCCCAAAGGTTTTCCTAACTGCTGATTTTTGAAAATATTAAATAAAACAGACACAACATTTTCTTCCAGTAGGGTCTGTAAGACAGGAGTGTGACCCCTCTAATGATGATGAACTACCATAATCCCTGACCATTAGCTGGTGTTTATGGTAAGGTAAAGGTAAAGGGACTCCTGACCATTAGGTCCAGTCATGACCAACTCTGGGGTTGCGGGGCTCATCTCGCTTTACTGGCCGAGGGAGCCAGCGTACAGCTTCCAGTTCATGTGGCCAGCATGACTAAGCCGCTTCTGGTGAACCAGAGCAGCCCATGGAAACGCCGTTTACCATCCTGCCAGAGTGGTACCTATTTATCTACTTGCACTTTGACGTGCTTTCGAACTGCTAGGTTGGCAGGAGCAGGGACCGAACAACAGGCGCTCACCCGGTCGCGGGGATTCGAACCGCCGACCGTCTGATCGGCAAGTCCTAGGCTCTGTGGTTTAACCCACAGCGCCACCCGCGCCCTGGTGTTTATGGTAGGAGGAGTCTAATAACTTCTGAAGAGCCACATGTTCTCTACCCTGCTCCAAGAGAATTGCGTGTCAAGGCCCCAAACCAGCCCTCCATAAGAAATAAATTCACACTGGCACAGAATTTTGGTTTAGGGTTAATGGGAAAAATTTAGGCCACAACTTTATTGATTACAGCAAATGTGAGTGGTATTGGCTTAGGCATTGGCAATAGACTATATCTGACTCCTGCCCACCTTGCAGGGAGTCATGAAAGGGTAAACCACCCAAAGAGGTAGCCACATTGGGGGAACCCGCCTGCAGCTCTCCTCTGTGTTCCCAGAGGCCTGGCACGGCCCTAGCCCCTCTAGCGGACTTCAGACAGGATCCAGGCCCCAGATTCCTTTAACAGAATTCCCTTGGACATGAAGGGGCAGGCAATGGCCAACCTCCCCTCCCCCACAATGCCCAAGCCCCAAACCTTACAAAGTTGTGACGATTGCTAAGAGGTAGGCGAAAACCCAGTGGCCAATGCCTGTGATGGCCTGGGAATTGGATTCAGAGGCTGAACCTGAGGAATCCCAGCCTGCACAGGATTCCCCGCCTCCAGAACCAGCTGGGCCAGGGCTAGGGCATGAGCCTGAAGGGTCCTCACCTGTGCTGGATCCTCAGGTGCAGGCACCAGCTGAGTCTGTTCTGGCTCCTGAGGCAGTGGAGGACCCATTGCCTGCATGTGCTCCACTCTCAGCCCCGTCAGGAGAGGTTGCCTCTGTGTCCGGTAACCCTCCAGCCTCTCCTGAGCTGCAGAGGCTCAGGGCAGAGAGGCGGAGGGAACTAAGTTTCCGCAGGAGGAGTGCGAATGGAAAAATTCCTACCCGTCCCCCTTCCCAAGACAGGTGACCAACCAAAGTCCAAAGCAAGGCCAGAGGAGTCCTGAAATAAAAGGGCAGGTGGGCGGGTGTTTGGGAGTGCAAAGCAGGTGCACAGCACATGATGCACTGCTGTTTATATATCTCCCCACGATCACCCCACTCAAAGTGATTGGCCAAGGAGGCCTGGGGTGATTATGGTGCCACCCTGGCATGGAAAGCCTCATTCCACCCACGCTGGGGTGGAGCGTGGAGCTGTGTTGAGGGCCTGCCCTCAACCAGGACCATCTTTTAAGATGATCCAACTTGCAATGTAAGTTCCTGTTTCATCGGTGTTTGGCAAGACCAAAAACAATGTTTTCCACAACACTATTCATTGCTGGAAGTGCTCTGTGCCCTGTTCAGATTTTGTCCACCTGCAGCAAAGATATCAAATGGCACAAAGTCTCAGGTTTTAGGGGCTGCATCTCAGGTTTTAGGGATTATAACTTGCCTTTGAACCCTATAATGGCAGCTTTATTTAACAGAACACAGCTGTCTTTGTTTCTTAAAACCTGTTATAATAAATTTATTACTGGTTTTAAATACAGTCTGGACCTGTGACTAAAAACCCCTAACTCCTCCTGTCACAAGAAAACAGCAAATGGCATCAATGGAAACAGAAAAAATAAGTGGTTTAATTGATCCAAGATATGACTCTGTTTGAGCTATTAAATTGATGCTATTTATTAGCTACTGGAACACACAATGCCATCATATAAGAATAGAAATGAATTTATTTTTGTAATGACCCTGTTTTCGTATTGAGTTATGATACCAAAATAGATGATTAATAATAGATTATTTTGCATAAATATGTTAATTGATTATTTTGCATAAATATGCAACATGGTGAAATGGACTAACTGGCATAACTTGGATTGTATCAAGTTATGTCACATGAACCCTCAGATATGTAAACTTCAAGGGAATGAAATTGGCTTAAATCCAGATCCCCCTTCTTAAACAAAATATCTCTGGATCAGGGTGCTCATTACCATTTTTAAGTGGAGGGATTTTAATTGAATTTAATGTTTCTTTCTATGAAAAGATTAATAGAGTGCTCGGCTAATTGACTAGCTGGCTCAGTTTACTGTTTACAACAAGTAGCATGATTATCATGAAGTGCACACTGGAAAGGAAAACAAAGAACTTTGATTTGCCTGGAACTAGGATGCTATTTTTAGTACCATTGTAATTAAAAGACTAAGGCTCCCCACCCCCACCCCCGGTATTTGTAACGGTTAGATTTTCATTGGTTCACTAGGACTCAGGTAATGAAAGGACAACAGAAGAAGGCATATTACTAAGACAGTAATGAGACTGTTCTGAAATTGCTTGTGTGGGGGGCATAAGGGGTTTTTTTAGCTCCAGAATTCCCAAACTGTATGCACTGCAGCAAGGAATAAATAAATGAAATAATGAAAGGTTCCTGTGAGCCTAGAGTTGCCATATGTCCTCTTTTTCCAGGACATGCCATCTTTTTCATGGGTAGAGTTGTCATAGTGACCCATAGTTAAAAGTAGAAGCTGGCAAAATGTGTCCTCTTTTTTGCTCTTCAAAATATGGCAATCCTAGTTGGCCGCCCTTCCCTGTAGCCTCTTACAGTGTGTAAATGATCTTGCCATGAAATTGGCTTAAATGTATAATTGGGTATGATTGGATCATTCAATCACTTTTGATGCAGAGATGCAGGTGTAATAACCACTCTCAAAGGAGTCAATCATATTGATTGATTATGAAACTGCAAGATATATATCAACAGTTACATGAACAGACCTCAGTACAATGATCTGTTAAGTGACTGGTTCATCATATCATTCAGCTTATTTTATGATGTCAATATTCTGTTCCCTTTCCGTAATTTCTAATTACCCTTTAATATATTGCACAGTATTGCTAATTTTCAACTTCTCAGGTTTACTCTATAATAGTTCCTGTACCTTAGTGCTGTCACCTATTTCTCCTGCTTCATATTTTCTTCTTTATTAACTATATCAACTTTTTTATTAGCTTGAGCAGCTCTTCCTAAATGTATCAGATATTAAACTGGGTCCAAGTAAGTCCTATTCAGAATAGGCCAATTGAAATCAATGGACCTTAATTAGTCATGCCCATAAGTCTATTCTGAGTATGGCCAACGTTGGATTCAACCCATCACTGTTGATTATGTCAGAATATATGAAACCTGTTTCTTTTTGTGTCTATATAATTGTTGTTATTTATCTGCCAATATGTTTTGATTAATTTATTGCATAAAATTCATACACTGCTTGATTGTTAAAAACACACACACCCTCAAAGCAGTTCACAAATGTCAAAATGGAATTCTTAAACAAATTCTTAACAAAATTTAGTAAACGTATCAAAGGGTTTCATATTCAGCTGAAACATTTCATTTTTAAATCCAACAGTGAATTGATCCAGATTTAAAGCAGACCAATTGAAATCAATAGGTCATCTCTAATTAAGTCCGGGTTCCACCCAGTCACCTTTGTAGGTGCCAAGTCAGGTTAGCAGTACACAATATGATTGTTGCTGGACTTTGTCTTTATGCTGGTGCTTTTTAAAACAAGCATTAAGTGTGACAGTAAAACACATGCGATTACACGCATGGCCAAAATCCTCCTAATCCCATTCAGTATGGGTCATGTTAAAAATGAATTAGTTTCAAGAACATGCAAAAGATATACAAGTCCCTTTACACTTACATCTGAGCAGGCATGTATAGCAGTACACTGTTTTCTGATATGTAGGGTTGCCATATTTCAAAAAGTAAAAACCAGGACATCCTGAAAATTGTTGAGCTTTTTTTAAAAAGAAAACCACTGAAAGTTGTTGGTTTTTTAAGGACAAACCCCAAAGTTGTTGTTACTCTTTTTCGATTGACTTGATCCAGGACAAACCACCACCTTCCTGAAATTCCTACCACACGTCACTTCCGCCTTTGAAATCCCGGTAATGTTTAAAGACTATCTACAGAAATATTGTAAAATTAATGAATGTTAGAAAAATGTTGAATATATGGCTTTAGTAGAAATATTATAAGGAATTAAGTACAGATAGGTTAATAGAGTATTAAAGGAAAAAATAAGGTTAGAATGAGTTAAGATAATTATAGGATAGAAAACAGAGGAAGATGGAAAGGAATTGCTGAAATAATTAACAGAAGTGGAATACAAAAAGGAGGTGTGAGGAGGTCGTGGAAATAAGTGAATGAAAGATGGCATAATGAAATTGTTTGATTTATTTTATTGTCTTTGTCTTGTTTTGTTAATTTGATGTGTTGTATTGTATTGTATTGTTTTTCTCTTTCTTTCTTTTTTCTTCTTTTTTTAGTGTCTTTGGAAAAATAATAATTATTATTAATAATAAAAAAATATGAAATCCCGGTAATGTCCAGGATTATCCCAGACGTATGGCAGCCCTCATTTTACTGCTGTTCTGATGTGTTTTATTGTTAGATAGTTCATTTCCCCATTGTTTTAATAGTGGATGCTCCTCTGAGGGGTTCAGCTGGAGGAGGGGCTATTGGATGCTTGAAATATATATATAAGCTAGCCCTAAGACAACGTGGTAAGTGGCCACCTACATATTAACATAGGGA